CCTGTGCCTCCAAGCATTTATGGAGATTTCCGGTTATGTTTTTACCACCAATCCTCGAATTCCATATCCAGATTATGTTCGTACTGCATTAATATAAATATTAACAAGACATAGTGCACAATAAAAATTAAGCTTTATTTAGGAACTTCGCGCATACTCCCCGACAGCCTGCCTGTTTCGCTCTGCTCGCTACTCGTAAGAAACTTCTCCTCTAGGGTTGCCACACTTATCGGAGGGCGCAAGGCGCGCTCCTTATCGCCATCACCACAGAGTTTCCCCCCAGTTCCTTTAATGGCTATTCAAAGGAACGACATAGGTTATGAAATTATCTCAGAGTATCCGAACTGTCGGGTATTTTTACATGATTACAAAATTAGAATATAAAATTAGAAAAGATCAAAATGAAATTCAATATATAACAAGGTATTGACACATATAATAAACATGAAATAACAAGAAATATGTTAAGATATGAATTTAAAAAAAAATGTTTTAAATTGTTATGTAAGAAGCAAGTTTCTTAGGGAAGTGAACATGTCTTCCCGATCTGGTGACAGTTTGTGTCTTAGAGAGTTCGTTTGCAGATTTATTCTGCTGAACTGTCTTTAAGTCTTTATTTGTTTTCAGTTCAGGCAAATTAGAGTCCGAAAGCAAATAGGCTGGTTTCACACGGTCTATAGACACAGTAGATTTCAGACCGTTAATATCAATTGTGAAAGTTTTGTCCGTTCTAGAAAGGAACTTTATGCGGACCTGTATATGGTTGGCACAGAGGTGGCTTTACTCGATCGACACGTAAGTATACATGCGTACACGACTTTAAGGTAGCACTTACGTAACATTTTTCTTGGCAATGTGCAGATGTTGCTATTGGATTCAATTGTTGCATTCTATGCCTAAGATTCGTGATAAATTGTGTGTCATACGGAGATATCTTAGATGACGTTATCATATCACTAGGCAGCTTGAGAGTTGTGCCGTACACCAGTTCAGCACAAGATGACTGTAGATCCTTCCTTTACGGCTGTCCGAATACCAAGCATAACAACTGGTAGTGTTTCAGTCCAGTTATTGGTCTCGTGAGCCTTGAGAGAAGATTTTAAATGTCGATGAAATCGTTCAACAATGCCGTTGGACATTGGATGATAGGCTGTTGTTGTGATTCTGTTCGTACCCAAAATGCGCGTGAATTCTGCAAAAAGTGCGGATCTCATTTGAGAACCTTGGTCTGTTGTTATGATCGATGGGCAGCCAAAACGAGATATCCAACAGTTGAAGATGGCTCTGCAAATGGTTTCCGTTTTCATATCCGGGATGGGAATGGCTTCAGGCCATCTGGAGAATCTATCTATTAGAGTCAAAAGGTACATACACGTTGCCTTCTGATGGAGGTAACGGTCCGACGATATCCATATGGATTTCTGAAAAACGTGCATCAGGAAGAGAGAATGTGCCCAGTGGTGCTTTAGTATGCCTAGTAATTTTCGATTTTTGGCAAGATTCACAGGATTTCACCCACCCAATTTTTGATATGACGTTTCATATCGGGCCATACATAACGAGAACAAATAAGCTTCGTAGTAGCTGCAATTCCTGGATGTGACAGATTATGCAGATGATTAAAGATGAGTCTGCGAAAGGAATTCGGAACAAATGGACGAGGAATGTCTGTTGATATGTCACAAAGATATATTACCATCAGAATATTGGCACGGTTTAAATTCCAGTTTCAAAGATGATGTGTTGTTTTTGAGAAGGTCTTGTACCTCCGGATCATGCCGTTGAGCTTCCGAAAATTTTTTAAAATCCAAAAATGGAGATTTTGTTATGGAATCAATTTCGATTCTTGAAAGAGCGTCAGCAACGACGTTTTTTGAACCTTGCACATGCCTAATATCAGTAGAGTACTGAGAAATAAAATCTAAATGGCGCAATTGTCGAGGTGAACATTTATGAGGGTTCTGTTTAAAAGCGTATATTAACGGTTTTTGATCCGTATAAATTATAAAATTTCTGCCCTCTAACATGTGTCGGAATTTCTTAATTGCAGAATAAATAGAAAATAATTCCCTATCGTACGCGGACCATTTCTGTTGACTTTTACTGAGTTTCATAGAGAAAAATGCTATAGGTTCCCATGTTTGTTGAGACAACTGCATAAGTGTGCCGCCTATTGCGACGTCTGAGGCATCTACCCAGATGCTTAGCTGGGCTCCGGGAATAGGGTGTCTCAAAAGGGTAGCCTGAGCAATGGCATTTTTGGCAGCAATAAAGGCTTGTTCAGCATTCTCGTTCCAATTTAATTGTGGGGATGAATCCTGAAACACGAGAACGAGATTTCTTTTTATTAATATAGCCTTCTAACAATTTTATTAAAGGAGAAAGAATATGTGCTGCTTTAGGTATGAAACATCTGTAAAAGTTAAACATGCCTAAAAATCGGCGAAGCTGAGTGAGAGTGGTAGGTTGAGGAAAATCTAAAATACATTTGACTTTGTCAGGAAGAGGTTCAATTCCGTTTTCACTAAGGTGAAAACCTAAGAAATCAATAGATGTTTGACCAAAGGTGCATTTTGAAACATTTATGCAAAGTCCATATTCCTGAAGTTTGGAAAATAAAGCTTTCAAATGCCTGCAATGTTCCTCAGAATCTTTAGAGGCTATGAGCAAGTCATCGACGAAAGCGTAAACACCTTCTAAATCCCGCGTGACTTCATCTATAAAACGTTGAAAAGTCGCAGATGCATTGCATAAGCCGAATTGCATACGGATACTTTCGAATAAACCGAATGGTGTGCATATGGCGGTTTTGTGGATGTCGGCTGGGTTAATTGGTATTTGATGGTATGCCTTAATCAGGTCGACATGACTAAAAATTTTAGTACCGTGCAATGCAGCAGTAAAATCGGCTAAACATGGAATAGGGTATTTGTCTTTTATTGTTTGAGCGTTCAATGCTCGATAATCTCGATAATCTACAGGTCTCCATTCCAGACTTCCCTTTTTTGGAACCATGTGAAGTGGGGATGCATAATTGCTGCTCGAAGGTCTCAAATGCCCCAATTGCATCATAGTTTGAAATTCTTGTTTTGCTATTTTTAAGCGATCTGGAGCTAACCGACGAGGTTTTGCAACCACAGGTGGACCTTTAGTTATATATAATGAACGGTTTGTTGTTTAACAGGTTGGTTAGGATCTGGTAATCTAGTAACTGAAGGAAATTCTTTTAAAAATTTTGTGATATGGTGTATCACTAAATACAGTTTTTACTGAATAAATGCTTGCATTTTTCACGCAACCGACGGTTTTAAAATGCGTTTTTAAATCTTTGAGACATTTGTTTCTGAGATCAGGCACCAATTCAAAGAAATGGAGAAAATCTGCTCCAAGAATGGGTGTACTAACATTTGCTATAAGAAAAGTCCATGTAAACTGTCGTCTTAATTTGAAATCCAAAGAAAGTGTTTTTTGACCATAAACATGAATAGTAGAAGAATTAGCAGCGAAAAGTGTTTGTTGGGACGAATTCCGTTTTTGAAAATTATTTGCTGGAAGTAAGGACACGTCAGAGCCGGTATCGACCAAGAATGAAAGGTTTGTTCTACGGTCACGAACGAACAGGCGACGTGAAACTTGAGGCAAAGAATAAGTCGCCTCTATTCTTTGCTGGTTTCGTTTCCCTGCCATGAACAAGGTAAAATTCTGTCGGCAATTTCTGCAGCTTTATCTACAGTTAAATTGGACACCGCTGCCAAAATAGACTGAACAGTCGAAGGCAAACGTTGAAGGAATAATTTCTAACATTAAGTTATCAGGAACATTTAAAGATTTCTGCTTGACGTTTCATATTTCTAAGCAAATCGGAAGTTTTTCGTTTCGAAAACCCCTAATTCTTCTCCAGATAATAATTGGCGAATTTCTTGCTGAGAAGATTCTCCTGAACGATTTATTAACTCAGTTTTAAGCTTTGCATATGGATCAATAAGGTCTGGTTTCATAAGTAAATCCCGTACTAGTGATGCGATATCTGGAGGAAGATGAGAAACTACATAATTATATTTAGTAATGGATTCTGTGATAGGTTTGGGAGTGGCAAGAGCAAAGGTACTTTCACACAGAATAAACCATAAAGATGGGTCTGATCGGTTATAAACCGGAATTTGGACGGCATAAACATCAGACATTGTGCAAGGTTAAGCCAAAATAAAAGGAAAAATTTAACTAAAGAAAATGAAATTAAATGATAAGTAGAAAACAGAATTATAAATGATCTATAATTACTACTCATCTGTGATCGGAGGAGGACGAAAAACCGATGTAATCCATTACTTCTGGTTTGGAGATCTTGAGTGATGGCTTGTAGTCAAAACCGAAAGTGCTTGAGAACTGTTCATACGATTTAACACAGTCCGGGTTACCATTATGGTGATTTCCTGTTATGTTTTTACCACCAATCCTCGAATTCCATATCCAGATTATGTTCGTACTGCATTAATATAAATATTAACAAGACATAGTGCACAATAAAAATTAAGCTTTATTTAGGAACTTCGCGCATACTCCCCGACAGCCTGCCTGTTTCGCTCTGCTCGCTACTCGTAAGAAACTTCTCCTCTAGGGTTGCCACACTTATCGGAGGGCGCAAGGCGCGCTCCTTATCGCCATCACCACACATTCTCTCAAGTCAAGAACTCTGATATTATTTATCCTCTAACTAATTTTAATTTGCATTCTTGTGGAACTCAAGTTAAAGTAAAGCCAAAATAATAACATAATTAATTAACATAAAAAACCTTATAACATTATAGAGTAATTAATACATAGGTCAGTAAACCAAAAAAAATGTGGAAAACTGACATGAAGTAGTTTACTCTAGTCTTAAATGTTAATGGAAGTTTTTCATAGTAAAGTGTCAGTTTCTTGGTATCTTTTTAAATATACTGGTATATCTCTACAAAAACATTTCTTTTTTTTTTTTTTTTTTTTTTCTTGATAAACAGGTGAGCGTGAAGAAATCGAGATCACAGCACTGAGGCTGATGAACCGCACTCAGACTGTAGAGGTGAGTGTAACGACACCACGAAATGAACTGCAACAGCAAGCACTAGATAAAGTAGAGAAGTTTTATACTGATCTACAGGCTTATGCAGAAACAGATCCTGCAGGTGCTAAGGCAACTTTGCAAAGTTATATCAATGCTTGTTTGTCTGACTGTAAAGGTGCAATCAATCAAAAGTTCCAAGCTGCAGTTTTGGAATGCACTGCTGATGATCAAAAAAGAACAAGGAAGAAACTTGAATCCTTGATGGCCTCACTATCAATGTCTGGAAGTAGCACAAAATGAACTCATTGCCCATTATGTGACCATAAATTTGAATTAAACAGAATAGGTTGGTTGTGGTTTACATCATTATGTAAAGGTCAAGGTACTAAAAACTAAAACAAGGATAGTTTCATTTCTAATTAGCATTTCATCTGTCACTGTGGTGTTATAAATTTCAATGCTTTTGAGAACAGTGATGCAAGGAAGATTCTCACAAAATTGAAATTATTAATTTATAAACAAAACACAATTTGTGGTACATTTTATCATTTGTATCATAAACTGAAAATAAATAATATTTGTATCATAAATGTGATATATAGAGAAATAGTGAATTTGTATCATAAATGTTAATATTTAATAATGTTTTCTGTTATTTATTTATTTATTTATTTACCTTCAAGATACAGAATCCATTGACTGCTGAGCTATTTTATGTATCCCAGATTTCACTTTCATTTGTTTTATTGCAGTAGTACTTTTTTAATATTTTATAATTTATGCATATTATATTCTGAAATCTTTTTACTAATACACAGGATTATTAATAGGGAATTTTTTGGGCTTTCTATTGAAATAAATTACCATCTTATGAAGGTAAATTAAGGTTTTAAAATTAAAATTCCTAGTATGTTGAGCAGATTTTTCTATATATGTAAGAACCCTAATTAATGTGTTTTTTTTGGGGGGGAGGGGAGGGGGCTATAGAGCATTTGATACTTTAGGCTTTAATTTTTTTTAAGATCACAATTTGTATATTAATTACAAATACAATTGTTGAAATTTTTCTATATTAGATTGGCCTTATTTTAATCTTTTTCAAGAAATCTTCTTTCTTTTAATCTTTTTCAAGAAATCTCCTCTTATTTTATTGTTAGAAACATCAGAGAAATGCGAACCCATCAAACAGGCATGCTAAACGTAGACCTTTTTTTGCCACATAACTATTTTAGGGACATACTGCTTTGCTTCACAAATACTTTTTGTGATTTTTTCAATGGGGATGCAAATAATCAGAAAGCATTAAATATTTCTTGATGATGACATTACAGCCATATCTTAAAACAACTTAATTATTAGTCACTGCTGAATGACTTTTTATGCTGGGCTGTGGAGTCGGAGTCGGGCAGATTTTGGGGTAAAAGGAGTCATAGAGTCGTTAAAAACAGGTCGACTCCGATCCCAGTTTTTTTTTTGGACAACTTGAATTTTAAATGAAATTAAAGTGAATTGAAGACAAACTAATGACAAACTGAGTCATTATTTTTATTTATGGGCTATATACATCAATAAATAGTTATTTTCTATTTTATTGACATATTAATAAATAAATATAAGGGAGGAGGATGGATGTGATATTTGCCATTAGTGATTAAACTGATTCATTTAGTTACAAATCTCTGGTAAATTTAGATAAGCAGCAATAGCAGCAAGAAAATTGATGCCATTCTTAGGAAGCAAGCAGGAAAGGGATCAATTATTGATCAAGCAATGCCATGAGCAAGTACATATTTGATGAAATAGAGGTTGTTAGAATTAAGAACCTTTTTAGAAGATGTATATAACCCTAATGTTTCACCAACAGGAAGACTGTGGAAGGATCTTTCCAGAATCGGAAACTCTTCTTTCTCCACCGTATATAGCCACAAAAAAGCTACAATCTGAAGAATTGACAGGAGGCGAGAATGGAAGAATGTGCTGTTTGTTCTTTCTGAAATGGATGGTTTATTGCAGAAGAAATCCTTTCTTCAATGAAGAAAAGAGAACTAGTTTGCTAGACAATGAGATCTTGCTGGGTTCAATATGTATAGATCCAAAACACCGAATTTTGTTAGATGATGAACAAATTAAGAAACAAAGAAAGTCAACTATGAATTTTCAATAAGAATGAAATTATTTTCAGAACAATTCGAATATTCAAATCAGGACAGTCAAACTTCAAACATTGCAACCGAATCTCTATCATCCTCCTTCAGTGATGAATTAGAATATGAGAAATATTTTTGGATGATATTGAAAAAACTAAGGCATAGAGAATGAAAATAAAGAACCAAGAGCCTCTCCTTCGAAGAAATAAAGAAACATGATTGCTCTTGCAAGACACCTCTTTTAGAACTTATAAAAATCAATCCTGAAAAGTTAAAAGAAGTGGTCCTAACGGTAACAATTCTTCATCCTTCTCAAGTCAGTGTGGAAAGACTCTTCTCAGCTCTGAAGTTTATCAAATCGGATCTATGGTCCTCCAACAAAGAAGATCTTGCCGAAGTTGTACTGTTTCTTAGAAATAACTAATGCCAGTTTTTCCATTTCATAATAAATGCTAATTAACATAAATAATTTGCTATGCTATCAATTTTTTCCTATAGCATCTATTACTTCTTTTATATTAAAAAATACGTTGTAACCCATGTGTACATATAGGAGGGAGTTGGTCATTTTCCCTACCGACTTCACAGCCCTGTTTTCATGTACATTAGTAACATCCGAAACAGATCTTTTATTTATTTCACCATAATACAGAAACATTACTATATACATTATGTACAAATATTTGCATTATGCTTGCAAACCTAAAGGTAATTAAACTCGCCACATTTTTTTCATCAGTTTCTGCTGAAAGCTAGTTTTTCTCATTTGCATAGAAAGCACTATTTACTTTTCAGTTTAATGCTTATAAGGCCAGGCACTACAGTTATTTGACTAACTAAAAGCATAACATTGTTTTTCTTTTTTTTTTTCTTCACTGTTATGAATCAAATGAAAAGTGGAACAGGCAGGGCTCTGGAGAGCTAAGAAAGGGCCAAGTGTATGTCTTATGCCTCTCTTTTTTATGTGAATTCTCATTCTGAAGTAATACTTTTTAACAAGCAATTTCAGAAGGTAGTCATAAACTGTCTAAATGATAGCTCTAGATCTGTGAAATGTAAATTTCTTATTTATTAAGAGAAAATAAGTACAGCAACAAGTTTATTTCTTTTATTAAGCCATGTCAAATCTTTTTGTGAAATACAAGTTAAGAATTTTTTGTTACTAAAAAAAACTGAGGAGGGAACATAGCATTATTTATTATGCTTTTAGCAGTCTTAAATTTTTGCTGATGTTAATGAACAGCTGTCATCTGTGCTATTCCAAAAGAACATGCAAAATCAGAGTTGCAATTTGTTTGTTTCAAATTTTAAAAACATGACCTAAGTCCGTAATTGCAGTGTGTCCATTGCACACAAATAGCATTGTACCTGCTATTGCACAAGTTGTAGTACGAATCAATGTATGTTATCAGGTTCATTATTATTAATACTTTTTTAAGTCTTCAATTTCTAACATTCTCCTTCCATATTATGTGATCAGTTTTAGGTAGTTGCAGTTCATGTTGAGGGAGTTGAATAAACTTAGAAGAAGAGCTAAGTAAAAGAAATTTCTTAAAGGGGTTGGTGTTAAACCAAAAATGTTGAGAATCTCTGAAATAAAAATATAGCAGATGCCAATGAGATTACAGGTCCTTGTTACTCTGAGCCATGTGTTGTGCACCAATATTCATTGTCACTTTGTCCAGTTAATGAGTAATTTTTTGTTTTAAAGAGTATTTTTATAGAAAAGAGCAATGAAATTAAAGAGCTTGATGATCACAATACTTATTAGTGATATGTTTTCATAAATTTTAATTTTAAAAATTTCAGTAAGTAACTAATGCATATAGAAGATTTTAAAAATATTTTGGTAAGCATAATCCAAATTGTTGTATGAAAGCTTATAACTTTTGTTTATTTATTTATAATAATATTAAAATAAATTTTATAGTTTGACTAAAATTACAATAATAAATTTAACATTTATTTTGTGTTTGTTAAAAAAAAAACTAAATACTTTGCATAAAGTTATCCTTGAAAGACTGGATACATATATTCAATATATGCTTCACCTAATATATTGATGGAATATAAGTCTACATCTGGCATTATAAGAATTTTGTTTTCGTAGAAGTTTTATTGCATTTTATTGAAAATCATAATAATGCATCAGCTGAAATAAGTTTTATTTAACTCTTTGAAGACTCACCAGATGGCTGTTCATTCAAATAACCACAACTGCCCCAAACAGCCAAAATTCCATTGTTCATTTCTTCCCTTCCCCTAAGGTAAGCAGTAGCAAATGCAGGTTTCCCAATTGCATTGTATCAGTTTATTGCAGACAGTTTGTCCTAAAAGGATTTACTTGTGGTTTCTTATCTTTATTTGTTAAGATATAGAAAGGATTCATTTACCTCTTTATGCATTAACCCTTTTCGGCGTGCTAATCTTTAAAGTTGGAATTTTACCAAAAACATTTGTAGGCAGTCTATTTAGGCCTAGGGGAGAATGCAGGTATAATTTTACAAAGATTGTACAAACCATTTCCATTTTGTGTGTATGTGCGAAGCAAACAACACACTGTGCCGCACAAGCTGCGATAGGTGAGCGTTGCTGTGAAGCATGTATTACAGTAAAATACTTTGTCTATGATTTGAAAAGAGTAGAATCTGATCTCTGTAGCAGATTTAGCATAACCCAGGGTGCACCACGGGAAGGCCTGCTACTCTACACCCCCTTCAAAAAAACCAGGGGAAAAAAAGGAAACTCTCATTGCTTTGGCAATGCTGAGGCCTGTCCGATCCTTTACACAATTTTAAAATTATAAGAAAAAATTAAAAATACTATGATTTACAATTAATTAGTGACTAGAAAAAAATAATATTAAATATATATACAAATAAAAATCTACAGAAATCAAAACTAAGCAAACTATGCGCGATGAAAGCAAAAAAAAAAAAAAGGGTCTGCTCTCGCTGAAAATCAAATAGCTAAGTGAAAACAAAGCACCGGGGTCTTCAAAACCAAAAACAGAAAAGAATAAAAACAAATATAAATAAATCTGCACTCTCAGCCTCCCCCATGTTTGAAGCCCAAGACCAGATTCTGTGACTCATTCCCATGTGACAGGCACTACCAGTACAGTGTGTTCAGTCCGAACACACCATACACTGAAGGCTTCACTATACGCAATATTTCAAAGATAAAAAATTAAAGAAAATATACGAATAGGCAGATTTAGCATACAAACAACAAAATTATATGAAAATGTTTTTCATTGATATTCTTTATATTTGAAAAAAAAAAAAAAAATCTGAAGCATTTCTTTGAAAAATCAGTGTCTTTAAAAACAGAATATATTTCAATGCTAATGATTTGTTTGTGTTGTGCTGCCATCTATTATTCATAAAAGAGATTAAAAGTAACCATTAGTATAGTTTTCATGATATTTATCGATTATTTACAGTGTCTAAAGAGGGAATATTTTTGGTGTGTTCACACCGAACACACTGCACCGGAAAGGGTTAATGGATGGGGAGGAGAGGAAATTGCTGTGAATCCTCAAAAGGCATTTTGGGCGCTTCAGTATTTCAAGCATGCAGTTAACGAAGACTTTAGTTTTCAAAGAGTTAATAATGCAGTTAACTTTATTTTCTATAATCATAGCCCATTTTAAAAATATTTATTTTATTATTATAATTTTGTATTCTTAGTCAGTAAAATATGGTTTGCCAGATCTGTAAAATATATACAATACATCTTATTCTTGTCATATTTAACAGTAGTAAGCATTACCCAAAAATTATCCTCGGGAATGTGTAAAGTATGAGTTATATGAAAAGTCATATTACTAAAAGAAAGACATTAGTCTTGCTCTAAAACTTTTTGACAAATACTTAATTACTTGTTAGAAGTGTTTTGAAATTTGTGCATGTTATAAAAATGTAACATATGTATAATTTTTTTATTGTTCTTTATCTTATAACCTAGACCAGGGGTTCTCAACCAGTGGTATGCAAAGAATCAAAGTATTTTTAACTATTGAATTCAAAAATTAAAACCCCAACATCCTGGTTGAATTTTTAATCTAACACTCGTAAATTTATGTGATCTGAGTATTGCTCAAGAGGTACAAAAGGTTTTCAATTTTTATTTAGATGGCACACGTTAGTCGAAAGGTTGAGAACTGCTGACCTAGACGATTTTGATAATTGATTTTTCTGACATACAATTGGCAGTTGTGGAAGAGAAGTCATTTGCCGGGACTTTTATATTTTTTATACCTTTAAAATTTGCATTCTTCGATATATTTACATAATTTCAATAAATTTTATTTTTATATATATGATATTTAAATGTTTGTTTTCAAAATATCTTTAATTCTGTTAAACCTATATATATATATATCATACTTAAAATATTGGTATTAATAAAATTGGTTAGAAATACGGTTCTAGATAATCGAATGAATCCTACGTTTAAGGGAAAAATACGAATTATAACGTAGTTGCAAATAAAGCATAGAATAAAATTTT